TTTTTATTAACTAACATTAACACAGATTAATAAATGTATTGTTCCATGTTCGTTTGTATACCGCGCGCAAGGTTTATGAGTATAGTCCAAGTCTTCTTCTCCGTTTTTAGTGTATCTCTGTGGCAGAATTACAGCGCCACATTCTGGTCTGGCATGTATACTACATTGTTTTGTGTTGGTTTTGTGGTTTTGTGTGGACGCAGATATTTCTTGAGACGAGGGGGGAAAAAAGGGGAAGAAGAGGGGAAAAAGAAGCTCTGGCTTCGTGTGGGCGTAGCCTTAAGTTGACAAAAATAACCCTGGCTTGAAGTGAATAGTGTAAAAGTGCCTTTTGTGCTTTCTCTGTCATGCAGTTGGAGGTACAGAGAAGCTGCGTGATTACTGGCAGATGTATTTGTGTAAAGCGCGTGTGTTGGTGTTCGTGGTGGACTCGTCTGACCCCGAGCGATTCCCTCTGGCTAAACGTCTCCTGCACCAGCTCCTGTCGGCCGACCCCTGCCTGCCTCTAGTGCTGCTCGCCAACAAGCAGGTGAGAGCATCTGCTGCATGCGCTCTGTAATCCTCTCTCAGCACGATCCGTCTGATGGAGTGCGTGTCAGGACCATCTGGACGGTCAGACATGAGGTTAAGGTGCTGAGGCAGTGCAGCTTTTCCTGTTGACGCGCCGGATGTTCTTGCAAACACATCTGGTGTGACAGACGGGCCTTAAAGTCAACATGAAATCAAATTGGCCCATGAATACAAGTTCCTGCATAGGGGTGTGTGATATTGACAAAAAATAATATTTTCTGGCATTTTGTCGATAATAATAGTTAGACAACATTTTGCTGAGTGTGTTTTTGTGCTGGTACCTTGACTGATTTTGGCCTGCTGTTGACATATTCTGTGCAGTGGTTAGTTCACAGCAGTGACAGAAATTAACGAGAGATATATTAATACTTAAATTAATAGGCTACCCAAAAATGAAAATTTGCTGAAAGTTTATTCACCCTCAGGCCATCCAAGATGCAGATGAGTTTGTTTCTTCATGGGAACAGATTTGGAGAAATGTAGCATTACATCTCATTACATTGCTCACCAATGGATCCTCTGCAGTGAATGGGTGCCGTCAGAATGAGAGTCCAAACAGCTGATAAAAACATCTTAATAATCCACTCCAGTCCATAAATTAATGCTTTGTGAAGTGAAAAACTGCATGTTTGTAAAAAAAATAAAAAATCCATCAGGGCATTTTTAACTTTAAAACATGGCTTCTGGCTATGAGTCCATAATCCCTAATAATGCTTCCTCCAGTGAAATATGGAATCTAGATGAAAACTCATACAGGGGCCTTTTCACCCCCATATATTGAATTTTGGGGTCATTCTAATAGGCTCCATGATACAAAAATGTGCATTATCAAGGCCTGTTTTTGCAAAGTGAATGACATACTCAGCTTCTACACTGTTAAAACAATAATTACAGTATTATCATAGACAATACATGTCGCACACCCCTATTCCTGTTCTTTTTGGACTAATTCATTAGTGCATGTTTTTCTGTTATTAGAAACATGGTCCTGTGCCAGGATCTTACACGTGCTTCGCTCTCTCTCACGCAGGACGTCCCCGGGGCCCGTGGGATCACTGATCTTTATGAGGCACTGGATTTGGGTAATGTTGGCGACGGGCACCGGCTCAGTGTGATTGGTACTCAGGTGAAGAAGGGAAAGTCTGAGGCCAACACCGGTGTGCAAGATGCTCGTGACCTCATCATAGAGATGATGTCAGATGATTGACCACCGACTATGTATCTTAAAATAGTTTCCTTTGGTCCCAATAATGTAGGGCTTTACGGTCACCAAAGACTCTTCAAACCAAATGACAACAAAACAGTTTTTGTAGTAGAAGAGAGACTAGTTGAAATAATTTTAATCACACTAAAACATTATGATAGCTATAATTGAGAATGAAAACTGAGCATTTTGAAAAAGATGCCAAAGATAATCATGTCTTTCAGTGTATTGCTGCTGCTGTTGTAATTGTGGATTATGGGATGTTTGATTATGAGTTAACTGATACAGACTCTTGTATGAAGCCTGTGTGTTTGTGCTGTTTTTGCTAGATGATAAAATGCTTTAATTGGATTATAATGTAACTTGCTGACTTGTCAGTAAGAATAGTCTATAATCCAAATGTCTGTATATTATTTTTGTAACTTGACCTTTCTGTCTTTAAATGGCTTTTTATTGCCAGAAATCAAGTGAAGATTTGGTTGGTGATTGTCTTTTGATAACCATTAAATATTAATTGAAATGACTGAATCATGTTTGTCATTTTTGTAACAAAAATCCCCTAATGTTATTTTTAGCATCAATTACATCATGTTTAGAGCTTTAATCTTATTTCCTGTTGTGTTTATGATGTCACTCTTACATGGTATGTTAGTTCAGGCTAATTTCAGCTCTTCTTTGAAGACAGAGCAGGACCTTGTGACTTTGGTTGCCATAGTAACAGCTTCCTTAGCAACAGGCGGTCTCTATTGTGACATTCAGTAAGCGTTTAGCTTCCCAGGATTCCTTTGGGTCTGTACCTGGAAAGAATGGACTCGGGTAAAGTCTGCATTTAGAACAAAACTTAAATGGTCTCATGTTATTTTAATTGAAAAACATGGTTAACATGATTTTTTTGTTTGTTTTCTATTCCTGAAAGAGTCTGAATTAAAGTCATTCCATCTGGATAGGTATGTATAGCAAAACATTTGAGTTTTCATTTCTTTATCATTTCTATTTTTAAGAAACTGATAACATGTTTGCTTGTAGGATTTCATTTCTAGCTCAACCAAAGGAGTCCAAGACAGTTTGGGCCACAACACCTTGGTAAAACTTCTTTTGCATGTACTTTAACTTGATTATAACCTAAAACTATGGTGTCAACCATGAGTACAAATATACCTAAGGCTTATATTTTTCAGCACTACCCAAATATCCAAAAACAAACAAACATTAAACAGTTGTTTCATCCCTTGATCAAGCTGACTTATCTGTTGTGCTTGTGTTCTGGGATTCAGGATACTGACATGGGGAAACCAGGAATCGATACGGCCGCTGTCCCGCTCAGCACTGCAAGCCAACCCGAGCCCCAGAATAAAGGCACTGGCCCAGCCTAAGAGAGACTTCTCCCTCCAGATTCAGCTCAGGTAGCAGGAGACAGCACAGATGTCTTAAAACTTCCATTTTATTTAGTTCTCGTATACTACTGTTCAAAAGTTTGGGGTTAGTACGATATTTTTTAATGTAGGAAATGAATAGCCTACTTAAACCTAAATTAGATCATAAAATATATTCAAATCAGTGTCAACTCCAGGATTTTTGGTTGGAGATTTTGTTGTACAGTCAATGGGGGGTTTAACAGCTAAGGGGGTGTTAAAGGGGTCATATGATGCGATTTCAAGTTTTCCTTTCTCTTGCGGTATATATAGGACCTACAATAATGTACAGTATTTGAAAAATAATGTGTTTTTTGAACATTAAAGCATGTCAACATATTCTGTTACACCAAATACACAAAATAATGATCTTTAAAAAAGCATCATATGACCCCTTTAATAAAATAATCCAATTGTATAGCTAAAGAATGCCTAAACCGCAGATCAGTCAACATGCCGTTACAGCACAGCTTCTAAAAACATGCCACACCACTGTTAAATGCATCAACAACCTCAATATCCTGCATTTATTGCATTTTATTTGTTTAATTTACCTTAAAATATACATTCACAGGGTCACATTAAGTGTGCAGTTATTAGAAATTAAACATAGACTAACAGTTCCACCTGGTCAAAGACATGATGTTTACAACGAAAATATCCTTTTCTATTTTCATCACCACTAGGCTAACAGGGCGAACAATGTTAAAGAATTTATATTCAAACCTATTACACTCCAAAGAGAAAGGAAAAATTTAAATCGCATCATATGACCCCTTTAAATGTAACACCCCTTCCCCAGCCTGTTAATATACAATACAGTGACATAAACACACAACATTTAAATTACAATACATTGCTTTAAGGAATAGAATTCCTATCGAGGTAACAGAAGAAAGGGTCCCAAATCTTGTGAAATTGTCCAATATCCAATGTCCAAGATATATCTGGTTCGTTCCAGGTGTACAGAGTAGATATCAGTTCCTCAAGCCATAGTTTGGCAGCAGGAGGATCAAACTTTTTCCAGAACAGTAATAACAGTTTCTAATTATTATTATTCCGCTGACTCCACGAAGGAGCATAGGGCCTCAACAACAATTATCCAGCGGACTCAATTTTGGGTGACTCTCTTCAGCTGGGCCCACGCCACGACCATCCGGCTGCCTTCATCTCTGCTTCCGTGCATCGTCTCAAAGTCTGTTTTGGCCTACCCACTCTTCTCTTTCCTTGTGGGTTCCACTCCAGTGTCTGTTTGGTGACGTTTTCAGGGTTCTTGCGGAGAGTGTGACCTATCCAGCCCTGTTTCCTCTTTCGTATTTCTTGGCCAACAGGCAGCTGATTTGTTTCCTCCCACAAACTGGAGTTTGAGATCCAGGCTCTCTGAGGAAGCAAAGAAAGTTGGCCTCAAAATAAACACCAAGAAAACAAAAACCTTGAGGATTAACCACAAACAATATGTGAGGAATTTCTGTTGTGCTCTGTTCAATGAATATGTATAATCAGAATGTCCTAATATAATGAGCACTGGGTCTGGTTCCAAGTTTACAGTAAGGGCATCTGAAAGCGTTTTTTTTTTAAACTTCACACCAGAATCCCTGTATTTTATGACAGAAAATAAAACTATGAGCTAAGTCAGCATCTTTTTGCACTTGTCACAAAGAGGAGAAACATTGGGGAAAATCCTCTGTAATTTCTTGTTTGAAAAGTGTAATCTATGTAAGACCTTAAATTGAATAAGGCATAATCTAGTATTGACCGATTATTTATCAATATCCTCCAAACCACTCTGAGCCAAATCTGAGATTCCAATTCCAATCTCTCGCGCCCATTCCTCTCTGATCAAGTTTGTTGAGGGGGAAATAGCTTTTAGTAACCTTCCATAAATTAAAGATAGCTGACTCTTATTTCCCCTGAACTGTAAACAATCATCAATAATCGTCTAGGGAAACATTATGTGTACGCAAATAATTAATTATTTGTAAAAATCTGAAAAAATGTTTTTTTGGGAGGTTGTATTTCTGTTGTAGTTGTGTAAAGGAAGCTAAAGGCCCATCAAGATAAAGGTCCTTGACTGTGCATATACCCAGTTCCTTCCATTGATTAAAGGTTGTATCCAACATTGAAGGGGGGAATGAGGGGTTATTTGCAATTGGAATTAAGAGAGAGAGTGAATTTATCTTATGGTATTCTCTTATCTGTCTCCAAACGTAACTGACGACAATACTATTAACTACTGTTTGGTCTAATATTACTGGGGAAAGTAGCACTGCTCCAAGATCATAAGGATGGCAGTAATCCCGCTCTATCTGAAGCCAATCTGGGGCACTAGCTGGCTGTTCCAACCATAGTGCAAAAACTTGTAAATGAATGGCCCAGTAATAAAGGCGAAAATCCAGAAGGGCCAAACCACCCACATGTTTGGGTTTACAGAGATGAACATTTTTGATTCTGTGACCCTTATAATTCCATAGAAAGGGAAGAATACTCGAGTCTAGGTGTTTAATTAAAGAAGGACTTGGGCAATAATATTAGAATGTTTGAGGAAGAATATTTGAGGAAGAAATATAATTTTTATCGCATTTATTCTACCAATTAAGGAGATTGAGAGAGTTCTCCAATAGTGTATATAGTTTTGTAACTTAGACAATTAGGGGTTGAAATTAGCTTTGAAGAGCAAAGAACCGAAGAGATTTAATGAGATAATGGATAAAATGAATTTGGTTCTCCGATTCCAGCTGGCAAGAGTGTTTCCAGCCCCGTTCTCCACCAGAGAGCATAAAAATCGCTCTTATAAAAGTGCTGAGAAATATGAGTTTGATTAGCATAAACACACTCCAAATCCTAGTTTCACTTGTTCCTAGCTAGCATCCTGTAACACTCATCCTATTGTCTTATTTGAAAAGGCGGATTTTCTCTCGGATGTCAGACGTTCCCTCTGCAATCTTCCTGCAGGAAAGAGGAAGAGGAGGAGGAGGAGAGGAGAAGGATGAAGATCTCCCGCCCTTCCTCTCATGCAGTGCAGTACGAGAGCATTGTCCGTCTAGCGACTCCCAAAACCCGAGGAAGAAGCCCCCAGGAAGTGAGGTAAGAGGTCAAATGAGAACCTGAACACATTTATGAGATGTTTCCAGAACTAAAATTAGCTCCTGCTGAGGAGGAAGCCAAAATTCAACATCTGTTTTTTCAGTAGCGCTGTGTGTGTGTGTGAGAGAGAGAGAAGATGCTGTCAGACAATAGACGACTGTCTGGTGTGTAACCCCTGGCAAGTCTTGTGTTTGACCACAGAGGTCTTTTTAAATTCTTAAATCACAATCTCAGATCTGGGCCCAATTTCTTCTCCAGGCTGTTTTGCAGACTAACATATTGAGTCAGTTTTGCTGTCATATAATTTTGTTTGTGAAGACTTCATGTCGCTTATATTTTGTGAGAATTCTGTGGTAAATAAATCATCTGCACGCAGGCCATTATGTTAATCTCTGGATTCAGCTGAACAATTTTTTTTTGCAACCTGTGGATTTTTGTTACATAACATCTTGAGAACATGTGCTCTGCAAACCAGAAGAAAGCTTTGATTCTTATCAAACCAAAAGCAGCAGATGATTTTTGCAGGTCTTGGTATAGATAAGATGCCATATTAGAAAAGAAAGTTATCAGCAGAGTTATCGTTAACTAAAACCTTAAAAAACATTTCCATTACTTCAAATAAACATTAATTGAAATAAAATAAAAATATAAAACTTAAACTTATTTTATTTCAGCTAATTGCCAAGGCAACATTTCTAGTTTTTGTTTATTTCAATTTGAATTAAAACTACTACATCTAAATAATCTTATATATAAATATATATATATATTTTTTTTTCTTAGAAAAATCTCAAATCTGTGTGCAGATTTGTCTGGAGACCATTCAAAATGTTTTTGAAAGAAGTCTCTTATGCTCACCAGGGCCACATTTATTTGATAAAAAAATACAATAATATTGTGAAATATTATTACTGTTTCAAATAAGTGTTTTCTATTTGAATATATTGTAAAATGTAATTTATTCCTGTGATGCAAAGCTGAATTTTCAGCATCATTACTCC